CTTGGTTCCAGAGCCCACCCTGCATAGCCATCCGTCCACTGGTCGATCCATCCGTGCCTTCAGTGAGCATACTGAGTGCCTGCTGGCTACGAGCCCCTGGGCTTGGTCCCAGAGATCCATAATGGAAAGATGCCCCAGCTGGCAGGGAAGGCAAATGCAAAAACCCACAGTGGTGTGGGTATATGCCAGAGACAATGAGGGGACAAGATTGGGAGTGAGCAGTTCTATGTGGAAGGAAGGCAAGAAAGAGGATGGTACAACCCTGAGACCTGAAGAACTAGATGGTGCCCAGCTACCACTACCAGCCGCTCTGATGGTTCAGTTGAGAAAGTCCTGTGTAGACTGGGAGGAAAATACGAACCAAAACACAAAATTCTAAAAGATATCAGGCTTACTGATCGATAGATACAGGTGGGACCCCCTAAGAAGACCAAGGTCCTTAGTTAACCTTCAGGTCTGGAACTGAGCTTAGCCTGTGGTTGAATAACCAACCATGGAAGACCAAAAGGAGCCCTGGCGGTGTAGTGGGCTCCGCATTGAACTTTAACAACAAGGCCAGTGGTCAGAACCCACCAGCCGCTCTGAAGGAGAAAGAGAAGGCTGTTCATTCCTGCAAAGATTTAAAACCCTGGAAACTCACAAGGGTACTTCTCCATCTTATGGGGTCGCTGTGAGTTGGCATCAACTCGATATCAGCGAATGAGAGACTATCAAAAGGACAGCGTTTGCCCATTGACAAAGCTCAGAGGGCCCAGAAAGGACACCCGGTGAGAAAGTGGAACCAGGGATGGTACTCTGAGCAGGTTGCAGTGAATGAGCTGAAGCAAAATGTGTCTGAATGGGATGTAAATCAGATGATCTGCTCTGTACCATTTCATCTAACTCACAACAAAAAGTTGTTTATTTTGTAAACAGAGAGAACTCTAGATGGATGATATGGAAGAAGCAATAGCTTCCTATTTTGATATTTTTGTTTAATAAAGTTTCTGTTATTTTGCAGCAACACTTTTTGGACTGCCTTCTCTATAATAAATTATCAATAACTGTCCAAAAAAAGAAAAAGAAGGGGCAGTTGTGACATGTCTTGGTGCTAGGTGGAGGTGTGATACTCAGAGCAGGGAGGGTCCAGGAGGCAGCGGAGCCATGGCATGCCCCTGGGAACTATACCTAGGAAGGATGGGAGGTCGCAGGGCCTTGTCCAAGATGGACCCTGCCTCCTGTGGCACATGCTGGGCTCTCTGCCGAACCTGGTGGCCCCAGACATCTGCCCCTCTAGGAGTCAGAGCTGGCAAGGGGCCAACATGGGTGCCTAGAGGGCAGCTTGCCTGCCAGAACAAGCAGTGGGCAGTCCCCAAGTGCCCCTCTGTTCTGCAGGCTCCGGCCCTCACTGCTGGCACTGCGCGCCCGGGGGACTCAAGGTGCAGATGTGTGTGGTGATGGAATCATTTCTGTGCACTGCTGCTCACGCAGCTCCCCGAGGACCCTGCCACTTGCCTGCGCAAGCTGTCAGGAGGTGTGTGTGCTCCCGTACATGCAGACCTGCTCTTACATGCGAGAATATGCACATGCATGTGAGCAAATGCTCCCCCTGGTTTGACCACCAAAGCGAACAGTTAATACCACTATCTGAGCACAGCCAATGTTGGCTGGGCCACTTCCCCCATGGAGGAGTGCAGAGGTCCCCGCTGCCTCTCCCCACCTGCCACCACATCAGGTACACTCACTCTTGGCTGCCTTGTCCAGCTCACCCTTGACACCCTCTAAAGCTCAGGCAAATATGTCCCCTCTTGGGGCCTCTGCCCCCGTCCAGCCAAATGGCACCCTGGGCTGGTGGTCCCTGGGGCCCTTTTGGTTCTCAGCAGCCTCTGAGCTGGGCTGGGCTGAGCTGGATTGAGCTGGGGTGGCCTCAGCAGTGCTGTGCTAATGGTAAGAAAGACCCACCTCACCAGACAGTCGGGAAGACTGGGCCAACCCAGGTGACATCATCCAAGAAATCCCATACACAGCGTTCAGGTAAACAGCCTGATGCCTGAGGAACGGTATGTAGAACATAAGACACAAGGGAAACTGTGTGACTGAGACAGGCCACGGCTGCTGTCCTAGGCCACCCTGGCCGGCCGGCTCCCCATGGGCCTGCCTTGGGACAGGTTCTGCTGTTTCCAGGCCAAGTGTTCTGCACTTGGCAGGTGGAGTTTTCCAGACAGCTGGAGCTCCTAATACATAAATCTGAATGTGTTATCGTGTAAGGAGCTGCCAAAGGCCGGCCAGCCCTTCATTTTGCAGATTGGAAAATAAGGTTTGGAGAGGCCGAGTTTCTTGCCCTATCGACACAGCAGCGGCGCGCCAGAGCAGGAGCTGACCCTGACCAGACCAGGGTCTTCTCCAGGCCCCCATGCTGATGAACCCTGCATTTCCTACCAGCTGGTAGTTGTTCGCACCAGGAGAGAGAGCCGAGGGCCTCCGAAGCTCAGAGTCGTGATTCCAGGAGAGGGGCAGGTTGGGGGTGGTGACTGCTTGCACCTACTCCCTATTCAGGTCCCCCACAGACCAGGGGTGAATCAGGGCCAGGCCCACGGCGCCCTCTGGTTAAGAGGGAGTCTGGGCAGTGGTGGGTATTGGAGCTGTGTGGCTACAGGATTTGTAGAGACTTAAAGGAACCATGGAGGTGGGAGGCAGGGAGCAGAGCCCAGGAAGGTGTTCCTATGGTGGTGGGCGACCTCTGCTGGCTGTGAAGCACTTACCATTCTCTTGCCTGGGCAGGGAGACCAGTGGCTCTGGGATGGCTTTGGGGGGAAGTGGGTGGGCTCTAACAAGCTGGGTGGGTTAACATCTCTAGGCCCAGGTACAGCCTGGGGGCCAGGAACTACAGGCAGGCTCCGACCTCCAGCTTAGAAGTGCTCAGTGAGTAACACAGTAAAGGAATGGGTATAAGGCTAGGCAGGCTCAGCCAGAGTGGTTTGAATCTAAGCTCAGCAGCTTCCTTACTGTGTGACTGAGGGCAAGTCACTTCACCTCTGAGCCCTTTGAAGATTAAATTAGCAATGCGAAGTGGCTGGACTGCCTGCCGCAGGGACCTGGGGCAGGTGCAGAAGGTTCTCACAGCCTGACCTTGTCAACGAACTGGTCTCTAATGCCTCCTCCACCTTAACTCTCCTCTCTCCTCATCTGGGACCCTTTGCTTTCTGATGCTCTGATGCTTTCTCTGCTGGGCCTGACGTCACCAGTCCCATGCATCCCTGGGGATAAGATCCCCACTTTTCCACCCTGATCTCAGCTGTTTAGGAATGACCTCTTACACGTGGACCTCCTTAATCAGCTGGGCTTTTTGTCCTTTCAGAGGTGGAGAAGCACAAAACAGTTGTCCCTGTGGTCCACTAAGTTCTCCAGGGGTCTCCAGCCCAGTGTTCCTTGTTGGGTTGTTGTATTTTTTTAATAAAGTGGGAGCTGTGCTTGGGAGAAAAGCCCCCTGGGACCAGGACTCAGACCATACCGTGTGCCCTCTGCCCATTCACCTCTAGGCTAAGGTGGTGTTGGGAAGGCAGTGGGACCTCACAGCATCTTTGGCCAGTGATACTCTGGGATTCTTTGAATCTAGAAGGCAACTCATTTTGGCTGCATGTAGCCTCCTGATAGCATTGCCCGTGAGTCAGCTTGGAGACCAGCCTGAACTTAAAAAGATCTGTCTCCCCCATTTTGCAGTTGGTACGGGGAAATTCTTCTAGAGTGAGGCTGGCAGCTCCCAGCTGTGGCTGCCCAGGGGAAAATAGTCTGCTGCCGCAGGTGGGCTGAGCTTTCCCAGGATCCAGAAACTCCCCCATGGTCAGTCCTTCAATAGGCATTTATCAAGACCCCAAAGAGTCTTAGCCCCCAGGGGCAAAAAGGCCATCCTGGAGAAATGACTACTTGCATGCACAGTTTGGTGCGACCACCTGATTGATCCCTTGCCCTCTCAGCGCACTGTTCTCCTAGCGGGGAAACAGGCCCACACAAACAGATGCCCCCCAAGCCCCTCCTGGTTGGGGGGGGGTCAATCCAGGAGCTCACTTTATTTGTACGCATAGGTTCATCAACAGCGCCCTCTGCTGGTGTATTGGTCTACCACCAGTTCTTTGTCCTGGCCAGCGGAGCCTGCTGGGCCGAGGCTAGGCCTGCACAAGGATGGGGCTTTGTACTTCCCTTCAGGCCCCTCACCAGGAGATGAACTGCCCTGGGCCTTTGTTTAATGAGCTCCTCCAGCTCAGAGACTCTGCCCCAGGCTATCTGTGGAAAGGACACTCCTTCCTGGAGACCCTGGCAGTCAGTGTGCCCCATACCTTTATGGCCCCTGGGTACCAGGTGGTGCCAGGGAGAGTCAGGTGGTGTCTGGCGCCCTACTGCAGTCTGTCCCTAGCTTCCGAGGGGGCCCCCCTTCCTAGGAAGCTGGCCAAGGACCCACAGAGACATTTAGGAGGAGGAACAAGTAGCCACGGTGGGCGAACTTTGGGAGGCAGGTGAGGAGAATGGTGCCTCGCCACTGCCTTCCCACCCATACCTGCAGCACTGAGGCAGCCTCCAGTGGGGGACCCTAGCTGCTCCCTAGTGCCTATCCAGAAAGCTGAGTTATAGTGGAAAAGCCAGGATTCTGGAGCTTGCTTCTAACCAACTGGCACCTCTCTGCATCTTGATTTCTTCATATGTGAAGTGGGGGTGTGATAACAGCACCCTAGAACCACAGGGTCACTGACCCAGCACATCCGGTTTGGGGCTGAGGGTGGCTCGTGGGTAGAGGTTGGCAGGCCTGGCCTGAGCCCAGTGACACTCTCACTTGTCTTTCTTTACAGGCTGGACCACGTTCATGGCTCTCGGGTAGAACCCAGTGAAACGGCCAGAATGAATTCTATGGACAGGCACATCCAGCAGACAAATGACCGACTGCAGTGCATCAAGCAGGTGGGTGTGTGGGCCTGAGCTCCAGCAGGGCCCAATCTTACCCTGCCGTCCGGCCCTGCTGGCAAGGGGCTGAGTGATGGGGCAGCTAGGGCCATAGGAGCACAGGTACCAGAGGGTGCTGGGAAGAGGTGGTGGACCTGAGGTAAGCTGCCTGCACCTCTGACCATTCACCTGGTTCAACTGCTGCTGGATGGATCAGCCTAGCATGGAAGTTGTACACCTACCTGTGAAGCCTCCTATTACTTCTCTCTCTTCCCAGCTGTGTGACTTCCCTCTGGACTCAGCAGCCCCCACTTGAAGATGTGCTGAACCCTAATTATGGCTGGAAGTGAGGTCCCCACCCTCCCGGCAGCCAGCTCAGTCTGTTCTTGTTGTTGTTACTGTTGGCTGCCCTGGCCCCCAGTAACCCCAGGACACTGCCTTATCTCATGTCATACTCGTGGTGGGCTGCTGCCCGGGCTGCTGTGACTAACGGGCTCTGTACTGGTGGATTTCTGGAAGTAGATTCCCCAGGCCTTTCTTCTTAGTTTATCTCTCAATCTGGATGCTCTGCTGAAACTTGTTGAGTGTCCCAGCCACACCTAAGTCTTCACATGAGATTCACTGTCTGTGAATTAAACCCAAGTCTCCCGCACCCAAAATGCAGAAAACCATACTGGCAGCCAAATCGATTTTGGCTTAAAGCAACCTTATAGGACAGAATAGAACTGCCCTTGTGGGTTTCTGAGACTGTAGCTTCTTACGGGAGTGAAAACCTCATCTTTCTCCCTGAGTTGCTGGTGGTTTCGAGCTGCTGACCTTCAGGTTAGCATTCCAGCACATAACCTGCTATGCCACCAGTGCTTCTTAAGTCTCCTGCATGGCAAGTAAGAATTCCACTCCTAGACCAGCATTCTGGCACCATTTGGATGTGTGGGAGGTGGGGTGGGGGGCATGGTCCTTGGAATCAGATAGGCCTGGCCCCATGCCTGCACTCCTCTATGAGGTCTCAGACTCTTGCTTTCATTGATCTGAACCTCAGTTCCCCCATGTGTCAGATGGGGCCAAACAGGCCCAAGGTGTAAGGTAATGGGAGTAAATTACACAGGTAATGAGTAAATACATACAGTAAATACATAAGGTAATGGGGATAAATTACATAGCCCAACCCCAGCATGTAGCAGGTTATTGGCCAAGGACAGTGAGACCCCTGTCCTCTGTGTATCACCACACAAGGACCTGGGCTTAGTGGACAAAGCTGGAAAGGCCAGTAGCCAGGGTAGGCCACTTGTGTAGCCCCTTGATCAGGTGGTACTCAGGCTGGTCTTGGGCCCACCCCCACCCTGTCTCCCTTCCTCTTGCGCCAGAGAGCAGTGAGGTCCCCCTAGGTGGGGTAGAGGCTTCTGACCAAATGTGGATGTCCTGGTATGTCCTCTTGTTAGCATCTAGTAGAGAAACCCTGGAGCCAGTGCAGGGTCTGAGGAGAGGAAATGGAAAACTTGTTGAAGGTTGACCCAGCCCCAACAGCTCTCCCCAATGCCAATGAAGCCCTTGCTCATGACCCTGGACCAGAACCAGATGATGTGCCTCCTCTCCTCCTGGCACCCATCCATCCTGCCTCCACACAGGCTGGGCTCTGCGCCCCAACCCGGGTGTGCCTCTGACCCAGTGTCTCTTACCTGAGCCCATGGGATGGAGATCAGCGTGCAGCAGTGCACTCCTGCCACCCCATGCACCAGGCACCATGCTCCTTCCAAGTCCCTCCCCGCATTTTCCTTGGCTCGCCGCTTTGTCAGCTCTGCAGCACAGGACCAGCCCCTCACAGCCTGGTGCACATGGTGCCTGGAGCCCTAGCCTCTTCTTAGCCACTGAGGAACTCCATGGCCTCAATTAGCTTGTCACTTCATTTCATTCCTTGTAGCATGGACATCAGAGTGCACACTCAGCCATCGAGGGCTGGACATCACAGAAGTCTGGGGGCAGCCTCAGCTGGCTTCTCCAGCCTGCCCTTGCTAACACATGTGCATTACCACCAGGCCAGGGGACTGAGAGGGGAAAGGCCCAGGACTGCCTTGGGCCCAGGAGGGGGTGCATATTTCAGAGGGGAACAGATTGTCTCTAGGTCCTGGGTCTTCCAGAGCTTCCTGGGTCAGCACTTACCACCCATAAGACACAGCTCGGTGCTGACACATCTATTCCACAGCTTCCCCAGAGCATCACATGAGCTGGGGAGCCTGTGGTCTCTGTCTGCAGCATGCCCAACTTGGAGATCAAGCTGTCCAGACCCGCTAATTCCCTGCCAAGCTGGGTCCCCAAGTGCCACTCTGAGTATTTGTTCTCTCTCTGGGCCCAGGCTGTTCCTGAGAACCCTACAGGCACCTGCTCTTTCTCCCTTGCATTACAGGCTCTCCTGCCGTCTGTATTTCCCTGACCAACAGGATGTGTCATATCCTAGTCTAGGTCAACAGAGTCTAGCACAGAGTCCAGCCCAGAAGTAGAAGGGCTGGGGGAAAGTGGACTGATCGATTGATAGATAAGGAATGAATAGATGGACATTCAGATGGGTAGTTAGATGGGAAGATGGGTAGTGGGCAGGCATAGATGATGGATGGATAAAAGAATGAATGATTGGGTAGATGGGTGACTGGATAAATTAACTTATGGATAGATAGGTAGCTGTATGAATAGGTGGCTGAGTGATAGATAAAGTAGGGAATGGATGAGTGGGTAGGTGAGCAAGTGAATGAATTGATTTTGGTGTGGATGGATGGACAGACAGATGTGTAGATGAATCATTTGATGCACGGATGGATAAGTAGGTGAATTTATCACTTTAAAGATGGCCAATCCCTGGTCTGGGCATGGATGTGACCCCCACCTGCCCCAACAAACTCAGTGGCCATGGGGTGCAGCCCAGGTTTCTGAGAAGCCGCGGAGGTGGGCAGGCCTTCAGGTGAAGGATAGCATACTAGTGTCAAGCAATGGCCACCACAGAGAAACAAAGAACCATAGAACAGCCATCACATAAGACCCACCACCATCCAGTCTGCTCTGACTCATAGTGGCCTTATTCAGGGTTTCTGAGACTGTGAGTCTTTACAGGAACAGGCAGCCTCTACTTTGGCCCTCACAATGGCTATTGGATTTGAACTGCCAACATAGGGGAGAGTGGCCCAGTGTTTATCCCACAGGGAGGTTCATACAAATCATGTCAAACAGAAGAACACCCCCTAAACTCACTGCCACAATGTTAATTCTGACTCGCATCAACCCTATAGGATGAGCAGAACTGCCCCTGTCAATGTCCGAGACCCCAAATCTTTGTGGGAGTAGAAACTTCATTTTATTACGAGCAGCTGGTGAGTTCAAACTGCTGATCTTGTAGGAGCCTTGCATCTCATATCTCTGAACTTTGCAACTGCCTCACAAGCTGTTACCACACCCACCTCACACACCAGGAAGCTGTCGGAAGCAGCGTTTGAACCAGGTCTGCCCTGTGTCACTTAGTAAGGTGACCAGACTTTAACATTGGTAAGGCGGGACAAAAGCGGGACACCATTGATAAAATTCATATCCTGGCGAAATAGCCACGTGGCAGCTGAAAACCGTATACCCTAGCTTGTCGTGCATTCTTTCCAAAAATCGGGACTTTTTTAAAACGCCGCAGGTCATGGTGGGGGAGGGGGATTGTTAAAAATCGGGACTGTCCCGCCAAAAGCGGGATATGTGGTCACCTTAATTAGGCTCTCTGTGCCCTTTGCTACATCATGATTGAAGCAAGAAATCAGGCACAGAGAGGGTAAGGACTTCGCCAGGCCACAGAGCAGCTGTGTAGCAGAGCCATGGAAGGGCGTGCCTAATGTCCTTTCCACCAATGAGACGCACCCAGAGCCCCAGCCGAATGGAGCTCAGTGGTGGCCCAGGTGCCCTGGCGCCTAGGGAGTTAGAGGAGACTGGGTGCTTTAGAACCTTCACAGAAGTGAGCCCCATGACCAAGATCCCAGAGCCCCACGGGTGGTGCAGCGGAGTGGGAAGAGCAGAGAGCAGCAGCTGCCTGACCCTGCTAATTGGGTGTGACATCGCATCAATACACGGAACAACTCGGTTAGCCGAGGGAGCGGCTGGCCAGGGAATTAGCTGGCTTGCTCATTTCCCACCTGGAGCCCAGATGTTGCCCATGGCCTCAGATGGGGCATGTTTCAGAGAGGGTAGGAAAGAGGAGGTTGGGCTCCTGCAGCCCTCTGCGAAGGGTGGTTTTTAGAAGGCAAAGGTTCTCCGTCTTCTCAAAATCAGGGTTCCTGACGCCTCAATCCCCAGGACTGAGGGTGGCAGCTGTGCTTTCCAGGGAGTCAGGGGAGCCCATATCAGGGCCAGGGAGGCCCACGCAGGAGCACCCAAAGTGCTGGGCACTTTGCCAGGTGCTGAACACCCTTAATCTTGTTTAATCCTCACCACAGCCCTGAGCCAGAGTGCTTTGTTGCTACTCGCTCGCCTTCTCTCTTCCCTTTTCTCCTGTGGAGCTGGCCTATTCTAGTTCACTTCCCACACGGCCTTCCATTCTTCAACTTGGGCTGTATGCAAACACATTGTTGCAACTGTCTTGAAGCTTGAAGTGAAACAAAATTCTGCAGAGCAAGTCATGACCCATGACCCCATTTTACAGCAGCAAGGGCTCAACAGCCAGGAGGCTAAAGCAGTGTGGGCCCAGGCTCCTGCCCCACAGGCTGTCCACACCACCCCTACCTTCATTCCCCAGTCCAGGGACCAGGAAGCACATGCAGCAGGTGAGAGAGAGCCACTGTCTGGAGATGTTAAGTGCGCCCCTCATACCTCCTAGAACCGAAACCACCAGGCTTCGAGCGATAGCACCCTGGCCAGCACTACCACCTATGTGACAGACATCTTCTCGGGTTTCAGGATGTGCTCTGTGATCCGATGCATCATGTCTGTGATCCAAACAGGGAAGGGACCATTCTGCCTATTTCACGGTTGAGGCGAATCAAGACCGAGTTTCACACAGTGAATTGCAAACTGAGCAGGGGTGAGAACCCCTCCAGCCACTTCTCCCTTCTACATGAGGATCAGGTGATAGGTTGAACCGGACTCAGAGCAGGGGGTTGGGCCCATGCCTGCTTCCATTCACAGGCTCACTTGTCTTTGTTGGTCCAAGCTCCCAGGCCCAAGTGCCCCAGCTGGAGTTCAGTGGGCATCATGGAACATGGTCAGTGCTGGGCTTCTGTATGGCCACGGATGGCCCACAGGGGTGTCAGTGCCCCATCCTTGCCTTGAATCCCTGCCAGCTGAGTGGCCATGGTCAGACCGTGTAGAGTCCTTGTTCTCACCTCGAAGGAATGAGACAGGGGTGTTGGGAGGAGTCGGTGAGGTTAGGGATGAACGAGCAAACTGTCAAGGGTAGTGCACACACTGAGTTCTAGTGTGTCCCCAGTCCCTAGTTCTGTGGGTACCCCTTCCAATCCCAGAGGGAGAGCAGGACAGACTCTGAGCTGTACAGCTTCCCTTTCCTGAGCTTCTCACTCACTGGGGGAACAGCTACTTGGCCTGAGGTGACAGCTACCCAAGCATGAGTCATTCCTGTCACCTGATACCCTGGTGGACATGCATGGCTCTGTCCAGCATAGTGGCCATTGCCCACCTCTTCCCCTCACCTGGCTCCCTATATCTCACACTAGGGTCTCAAATCATGAAGTTAAAGGTAGAGTAAGGTGAGAGGTGTGTGTGTGGAAGTGGGGGGGGGGGGGGGGCAAGGCTACAAAATTTAAAAAAGGCCTAAAAAGTTATGGGTTATAGAAGTGCAAGGTAAGGCTGAGATCTGGTGCCTCCTTAAATTTTGTATCCAGCTTCCTCATTCACTTCCCCGAGGCAGATGAAAGGATCTGCCTGTCTTATGGGCCAGACCCCCAATGCCCAGGTGGGGGGACATGGAGCACCCTGTCTTCCTGAGGCCAGGTCCAGGGTCCCCTCTAGGAGCCTAGGGAAGCCTACAGCCCACCACTCCCTGAAGAAATCAGAACAAGCCCCCTAAATAATTCACACCTTCCCTGCCCGCACCCATAGATCTGCTGCATGGGCACACGCACCCTGGTACCAGCCACATGTCCACATGGTCTTGCAGGCCCTGGCCTCAGCTGCCAGCCCTGCCCTTTACCTGCCCTGTGACCCTGGGCAAGTAAGTCATTCATCTCCTACAGTCAATGCCACACTCAGCTGGCCCCAGAGGAATGAACAGGTGTTAAAGAATGACAGGGTAAACACAAGAGCCAGCACGCCTCTTCCCCCTCCCCCACCTTCTGCACCTCCACCTCAGCCTACCCCTACCCCATCAGCCCTGAGTCTCAAGATGTAAAGCCAATTCTGTAGACCCAAGCACTAAAAACTGAAAATCCTGCACTACCTTCAAGTCAATTCTGACTCATACAATCTTATAGAACCTCCCCGTAGGCGTCACAAGACAGTAGCCTTTACATAGGTAAGCCCTGGGCTGCTAACCTCAAGTTCAGTAATTCAACAACCCATCCACTCTTCAAGAGAAAGATGAGACTGTCTGTTCCCATAAAGCCTATATAGGTTCGCTGTGAATGGGAATTGACTGTGGGGACAGGCTTGAATCATTACAGAGATTCCTTTTCCCTGGAGCAGCTGGTGGGTTCAAACTACTGACCTTTACCACCAGAGCTCCCGAGGGCCAGGAGCTTGCTACCAGAATTCAGCCTCTTGACTCCACTCCTGACTGGGAGGGGTCTGAGCCAGCTCGCTCCCACAATAGCAGCAGACAGAGGCCAGCCATACTGATCTCTGAGGGAATCTTAGCCTGAGCATTTGGGGGCACATACACCGGACAGACCATGATATGATGGTGACCTGGGCTTCCCACCTCCTAGCTGTGGTCGGCCCCCTGCACTCTATCCTGGTGGACCTTAGGAGAGCAGGACTGGTCGGTGAACAGATCTGGTCTTCCACAATGAGGGGGGGAAAATGAGGACTCTTGAGGACAGCGGTTCTTCACCTGTGTGAGTCACGACCCCTTTGCAGGTCGGAACGACCCTTTCACAGGGGTTATCAAATTCATAACAGTAGCAAGATGACAGTGATGAAGTAGCAACAAACATAATTTTATGGTTGGGGGTCACCACAACATGAGAACCGTATTAAAGGGTGGAGGCATTAGGAAGGTTGAGAACCACTCCTCTAGGGTCAGCCTGTCTTGGATTAGGGAGAGCCAGAACCCTGCACTCCCGTCCCTGCACTGCCAGCATCAAAAACCACTTTCACATCAAGTCCCTAGACTGTGGACTTACTGGCTTTCCATTGGGACCGCAGGTCCTGTGCTGTTCAGGATCAGGGTGGGCATGGGAGAGATGCTGAGGAAAGATGTTTGAGGAGGAGTTAGACCTTTTCTGGTGATCTCCCTGGTGCAGCTGGGGTCTTCCCTTCCCCAGACCCCACAGGGGACTTGCTAGTCTGAGCCTGGAGCCTTATGTCGCCTCCTTTTCTTTCCCGCAGCACTTACAGAATCCTGCCAACTTCCACAATGCTGCCACGGAGCTGCTGGACTGGTGTGGAGACCCTCGAGCCTTCCAGCGACCCTTTGAGCAGAGCCTGATGGGCTGTCTGACAGTGAGTTCACGCCTCTCCTACCCGCGCTTACTCCGGAAGGTGGCTAGGGTTTGCATGCCTGTCCATCTGTTGAGAGGGCCTCCAGTTAATGAGGGAACAAGAGTTGGGAGACGCTGGGGGACCGGTGGGGATGACCCTTCTGTGTGTACCCCCTACCCACCACATCCTCAGGGGACCTGGGTCTGATGACAGTGTATAGTCCTACGTGTTCTTTGTGTGCCCCCTCCTTGTTAAGAAAGACACTGGGCCTCCTGATGAGGGTAAATATTCTACCATAAGAAAAACCGCAAATTCCTGAAGGGGTTTCAGCCCTCTTTCAATCTGCTCTTCATTCATTTAAGTGGACCTTTATGGAGCTCTGGTTGTAGTCATCCACCCATTTATAGAGGCCCTCAGCAAGCTCCAGCTATCGAGCTCCTCAAGGACCACGGATCGATCCCCTTTACCATGTATCCTCCCTGTGTCAAATTCGGGGACCACAGATGAATTCTTTCCCACAACTGGTTCCCCCTTTAAGTGGGGGACAAAAATATGAGAGATGGATGTTTGGGAAAAAATGTGTCCATGGTGAAGGTAGCACAGAGAAAGGAAGGCCTGCCCAGGAAGGTGGTGTAGGTGACAGGAAACTGGAAAAGAGACCCACTTATATGCACGTGATAGTGTGCCAAACATCTGAGGCTGGCAACCATTGTCTGAGCACGTGGAACAGCATGTGCAAGTTGCAGATATTTTAACATAATCCAGAGAACTGTGATTAATGCAGTTGTTTGAGGGTATAAGATCCAAGTTAGGCAGAGGCCAGACCCAGAACTTGTGGCATGATTGGCTAAGCTCAGAAGCTTGCTGGCTGACTGAGCTGTGTGGAAGGAGCTCATAGTGTGTGAGCATCCCCTGCCATGTAGCCGGTATCCCAATGCATAGGGCATTGCAGCAGCCAGTGAGGCTGAGCTCAAAGGACTCTGAGCTGAGTCAGCTTTCAAGGAAAGCGGGTCAGCAGATTGCTGTAGAGTGTGGTGGGCCCCAAGGCTGGGAGAGAGAGGCCGAGTTGATGCTGGGGGAAAAGGAGAATGTAAATCCCAAGAGTGTGTGTTCCTCCCCATGAAGCTCCAAACAAGTTGGCAAAAGGCCCAGCGGCCCACACCTGGGATGAACAGAAGAGTGACCATGCGCACTCTGCCCTTAGGAGGCATCTGTGAACCTGACACTGGGCTGGGTGCTCTGTCCACCCTTCTTGTTGGCTCCTCACTCCCTTTCAGGGCACTGTCTTCCCATTTTAGATGAGCCAGCTGAGACTTAGGGTCACTGATATCCATGGTCACATGGCAGTTAGAAGAGGGTCCTGATATGCTTTTAGCCAGTAAGGACATCCAGAGCAGCCCCCCTCCAGGCGGATGCAGCCAACCCCCCACCCCCAGGCTTTTCAGTTTGTCAGAAACCAACCCCTTTGGCTCCCTCGGGGCTGCCCAACCAAGTTGTGTGGCTGCCTGTGCTGCTCAATCCTTCTCACCCTTCAGCCTACTGGGCACCCCTTCTGATACCCTTAATCCTCTTTGTGGGGATCCTGGTGCAGGCTGAGCCCTGTGGGTAGGGACAGATGCTGCCAGAGGCCTCTTACCCATCTTAGCCACTGGTGGTTGTCAGAGAAAGAAGAGGTACCTGACCAGGCACACGTTATCACAACCCCCAGCTCATGGCCCTGGGGCTGCTTGCCCGGGACACAGATTAAGGGGTTGAATCAGAGAATAGCCCTGGCCAAGATGGGTGGAGAGTTGGACATGAGATGACCAATCTCTGGCCATGCTCTCCCTACTCCCTGCTGTGGGCCAGGCCCTGAGGGGAGCACAGCTAGCGAGGCAGAACACACTCAGCATCCCTGGGGAATCCTGGCAAGGAGTAACACACAGCAGGGCCCCCTGGAGAGGAGCTGAGCAGGGGAGTCAGGCAAAGCCTCCCTGAGGAGGTGGCCTTGCAGCGGAGGCCTGGATGTCAGAGAGGAATCAGCTGGGGGGGAGAAACAGAGAGAGAAGGGTGCTCCTGGCAGAGAGGCCTGCCTATGCAAAGGCCCTGGGGCTTGATTTGTCCAGGAAACAGAAATAAGAGTCAGGTGACAGCAGCACAGGAGAAGGGAGAGAAGTACAAGATGCAGTTGAAAAGGAAGCAGGAGCCAATTAAGACCCGGCCTGTGGGCCAAGCAGAGGAGAATTTAGGTGTTTTTGGAATGGTGCTAGGGAGCCCTTGAAGGATCGGATCACAAGCAGGAGGGTAATGGAATAAGATGTGAGTGAGGACAGGAGCTCAGAAAGGAAGTGCCCTTGTGGGTTGGGATCGGGACATTATGGAGGACTTCCTGGAAGAAGGATCCTGGGCGGGGGTGGGGGGACCCCTGTGGGCTCTGAGTGCTCTGAGGGGAAACAGTGCCCACTCCCCAGGCCTCGCCAAATTGCCCTCATCCCTACAGCTTACCTCTTAGTTGTCAAAGGAGCATTTGTTTGGCCCAGCCAGGAGAGCCAGGTCAGACCATCCCTGGGAGCTTAGCTCAGCCTGCAACCAGAAGGGGGCTGTCATAAAAGACACCCACAGGTGTCCAGGGGGTCCCTCCTGAAGTGGTGCGGGAAGGATGATCACCTCATTGTACAAATGAGGCACAGAGAGGGAACCGTATGATTCCTCCTTAGGCTGCTGCTGCTGCCCCACCACAGTCCTGGGTATCCCCAGCTAGCCCTGCCACAAGGGGATCCCACACACACATGCACACACCTCCCCCTCCAGGTGGCAGATCTAGGTTGTCAAAATCCCCTGGGTGGCCTCTGGGAGTAAATTCAAATTCCTCTGGATCCAGCTTAGTTTAGGGATATAAATTAAAAACCACTTAGCCTCAGACAGCAAATGGACACATTTTTTTCCATACTGGCTTCTAAGCAGCTCTGGCACAAGGAGAACAGACTGCAGACTCAGCAGGCCCTTGGGTGAAGCAGCCCTGAGAGCTGCTAGCAGTGCCCTGCACTCACCTTCCTCTCTGGTGCCAGGATGCCTCCCTGGCGGCGGCGGTCCTCAGGACCAGGTTCTGACTCCCTGCTCCTCCCTTAGCTGCAGGGCTAAACCCCGCAAATCAGGCTTCTCTGGACTTTGCTCCATCCTCCTCCTCACCCAATGTGAGATGGAACCTACTTGATAAATTCAAGGACCAGGAAGAAGGCTCTGGCGGGTGGAGTCCAGGGGTGGAGAGGTAGGAGAGGAGGTCAAAGAGGGAGGCAGAAACTAGTTAATGCATCAATAACTACCCCTGCCCCACATTCCCAGTCTCTCTGGGGAAGGCCTTCCAGCAGCCATAAGCAGATACCCCTGTAGCTGCGGTATCCACTTGAAGGGTCCCTGGAGCACCCATGCTGCTCCGATCCTGGCTAGGCACTCTTCCAAGGACAGCGTTTCATGCCCGCCGCACGGGGGAGGGAGCAAGGCTGGGGTGTGATGGAGCAGCCGCTTGTCTGACTCCAGCGAACAGCAGTTGAGTCATCTCTGTGCCGCCCCCATGCTGTGATGGGAGAATATGGAAGTTGGGGCCCAGGTGGTGATGCTGTTAGAGAGAGAGCCCCTCACAGTTAGGAGCTGAGGGCTCAGAGAGGAGAAACGTGCCCTGCTTCAGGATGCACATGCTGGGTGGAGCTGAGGCTGTCTTGCAGGCCCGGGCCGCTCTGCTTTCCCTTACAGCCTCAGAAAATGGGGCCCAACCCCCTGCTGGAAACAGCTGTTTCAACATCCCCCAGGCTTCAGCCTCCTTACTTCATGGCCAGACAGCTTCCCACTTTTCAAGATCACACATTTCCCTATGGGACGAACAGTCTCACCAGCTGACCTTGAATTTGCCCCTTACTCTAGGCTGCAGAGTCTGTGCTACAAGGGACCGCACTCACTGCCCAGCAGGCTCCCCGGCAGCAAGTCCAGGAGGAAAGTCAGCCCAGAGCACCTCTGAGCCAGGCTCAGGGCCCCTAAGAGGACAGCAGCACTATGGCTGCCTCAGCCCGCCTTTCTCGGGGAGGCCTGCCCCATTAACCTCCCCAGGAGACAGTGCAGCCACAGGACTGGGAGCAGGCCTCCCTTTCACACACCACAGGCTGCCCAGTCAGATCCCAGTCACGGAATTCCTCTGAGTCCGTCTAGGGTCACAGGGCCCAGCTTAGTTTGCCCTGCCACAGTGCTGTGTGACCTTCAGCAAGGCCTCCGCTCTGGGCTTCTGCCTCCTCCTCCTCCTCATCTTGAAGGAAGGCTATTGGAGCAAATGATCCTTCGGCCCAAGCCACTCTGAACGTTGGGGCTTAGGGAGCTGCCCCTTTGCCTGCTTGGGCCCAGGTCACAAGACAGCCTTTGCAGCCTGTATGAGGCAACTCTTACTCAATTTAGCGAGTTATTTTCCTTAACCAGAGTGACAGGATTAGCCAGTATTGGCTAAACAGAGGGACCTTTGCCTTCTTATCCTACACCTGGGGCTTGAGAATTCTGTGCAGGCTGGCGGTTAGCACTTTAACCATTTGAAGCTTGAGTCAAAGTGCCCAGACTGAAGGTGTATCTGCCACTGCCAAGCACTGTCCTCGTCCATAAAAGAGGGCATACCTGCCTCAGAACTGGTGTGAGGATTGGGCGCTTCAGGACCTGTCAGCATTTACTTGGCCTTCAATACCTGCTGGGAACCAGTATTCTTAATACTCCATTCTCAGGCCTCAACATTTCCCCCAGACAACATCCTTATGGATACGCCAGTCTGCACAAACTTGCCTGCGCTGCTCAAGTTCGCTCACCCCAAAGCCCTCCTACCAATCAAGGGACACTGCCATTAATATCTGAGCAGCAAGTGGTCACTCCATCCAGAGACCTCCCTTACAAAGAGTCTATAGGCTTGAAGTGATGAACAGGCCAGGAGACTGACAGTGAGGGTACCCTTGCCCTGAACTGCTGACCCTGAGATTCTGGAACATGGTATAGGTGCATACCATAGGGGTAGACATCGTGTCTGGGCAGGGTACTTGTGTTTGACGGAGGAGCTGTAACTTGACCTAGGAACGTCCTCTCTCCCAGCACTTCACCCTGTACAGGGAGTTCCCAGGAGACAAAGTGGTGGGGAGAATCCTTTGGCCCCTCTCTGATGCAGTGTCACCCTTTCTCTGGGCCTCTAGTGTCCATGTTTTTAAACCAAGGGCGTTAACCTAGATTTGTGGCTACCCCACCCCCTTTTGGCCCTAGAGCCCTTGTAGCGAATGAATTCCAAAAATGTCAAGCAGAGAACAGCTCAGTGGTGAAGGCTGCCAGGCCCCAACAACCCCGTGGCGGCCTATAGCATCTTCCAGACCTTCTGTGGCCCCTGCAGCCTCTCCCAGGCCCTCTGTGGGCCCTGAAGCCTCTCCCAGGCCCTTTATGGGCCCTGCAGCCTCTCCCAGGCCTTCTGTGGCCCCTATAGCCTCTCCCAGGCCCTCTGTGGGCTCTGCAGCCTCCCCCAGGCCTTCTGTGGGCTGAGTGCCTGGGGAGCAGGTGGTTTCTTAAGGGTTTGCTGACTGTGAGGCTTTCCTTTCGGGAGCGAATGAGCCCACAGCGCCTGGAAGCATTCCCCTTCCCAATCAGCCATAGCCAGCCAGCTGCTGCTCGAAATGGCTCCATTTCCAACCTCCTTCCTTCCTCATAAGGAAACCTGGTTTTACTGCCATTAACAAGGAAGGTAGGCGGGCAGGAGCAGGTCTGGCAGCCCCGGGCCCCTTGGGAGTGGCCGGGAAAGCAAAGGAAGCAGAAGGGCACAAACCTGCAAAGCCCTTCATGGAGCCCAGGAGCACTTTGGCCCCTACCCTACTGCCCCCCTGCTCCTGAGATTCATTGAGAAGGGATGGCGGGCCCTTTAAGCTGCAGACACTTCCACAGATGGGCTGACAGAGACGCCCTCTGTGCTGACCCCCAACTCCGCTCTGGAAACAGACATTAGGTTGACTCTGACAACATCTTGGGGTTTCTAAGCAGTGGTTTGAACGGCTGGGTGCTTGGCTCAGAGCTTGGCACTGAGGAATGTTGGTAGTCTGCCCTGCCTGGGCAGCTTTGTCAACCCAGGGACCGCTGTACCTTGACACTATTAGGTTGGGAGTCAAGTGCCCTGAACCTATCCTACTGGTGAACCCTGCTTCCTACTTGTGAGCAACTCCCAGAGGGTGCCACTGATGCTGGTAGAGAACGACTTAGTTTCACAAAGTAACCCCACCATGGTGGATGCAGGAGCACAGGGCGGGGGCGGGGAGAGGTGGTGGGTATTCACGCTTTCTGGGCAGGGACTTGGAAGGTGGCTTGAAGGACTACCATATGGGGGCCATCCAGAAGATGGTGACACAGCCATCCTAGGCAACTTCTCCATTGTGGCTGCATTTGGGCCCTTAAACGTCAAGGCCTGGACTACCAGACTAGACGCTGTGAGAGCAGGGAAGAGGGAGCAGTACTGGCAAGGAGGAGGTGCTTATCAACACTTGCTGTGTGATGGGATGAGGCGCAGCTTGAGCCCCAGCGCAGCCCCTGGTCCTTCACTTGCTCCGCCTATGAAATGGGCAGTGACCTCACTCCTGCCTTCCTCCCCCTCTCACTATCAGGTGGTCAGCCGGGTAGCAGCCCAGCAAGGGTTTGACCTGGACCTCGGCTACAGACTGCTGGCTGTGTGTGCCGCGAACCGAGACAAGTTCACTCCGAAGTCTGCCGGTAAGGTGCCCGTTTAGGAGCTTGGCGGTTGTTGGGCAGTGGGGAGGAGAACTGGATGTGTCCTGGGGCTGGCTACACTCCCCCACCCCACCCTCGGCACCTCCTTGCAACGCATTTGTCCAGGTTCCTGCAGGGCGGAACCATGCACCCACCACAGGGTCTTCTCCCGAGGCCTGTTCCTAGGGAACAGTAGTCTTGCCCTAGGTGGGGCACCTCAGGGCCAGCCACGAATGACCCAAAGGCATCCCACACTCCATTAATTCATGACAAGCACCATCTCCTTTAAACACCCCAGTGACCCCTTGGCAGAGGTGATATGGTAGTCCCCATTTGACCGATGAGGAAACTGAGACTGAGACACTGAGCAGTTCCCAAGGTTCTCCGCTAGAAAACCGCAAGCCTAGAACCTGTATTCTAGAACAGCCATTCTCACCTTGACATTACATTTCATTTTCATCCATTCCAAAAAACAACTTAAAATGAAAAGCATTAAAGATTTCAAATTAAAACGAATCTGTATATTCAGGGCCCCTACAAGAGTGCTTTGCATGAGATTCTGCACTGACACTTTGCCGTTACATGGGGCCTCCTGATCCTACACTAAGCAGGGTCCAGGGAAGGTGGACAGCAGCATCAGCATTCTGCCTGGACAGTCGACATTTGCCTCCATCCTCACAGCCTTGCTTTGTCAATTGGCACGATGCTTACTTTAAGAGCTACTTTAAGCCACATAGCCCTGTCACATGCTGAGTGTGTGGGCTCTGACCCTTGGGTTATGTCCTGAAGACAGCAGGGATCAACCTAAGACCTACTTGTAACTTTGAGTAATATGGAATGTGCCCAACTCTGAGCGTGCATATTATTAACATTCTCTCTACAGTCAAAGCCTATAGTGTTCTTCCTATAACAACTAAAAAGACGTTTTCACTGAATGCTTCAGTCAGTGTATAGAAACAAGTGAGCACAATGTCCAGACTTTCACCTAATTCACAAGACATTTCAATAAAGGTTTAAAAACCCAAACTCGTTGCCATGGAGTCAGTGCCTACTGATAACCCCAACCCCAGTGGAGCAGATAACAGTAATAACAGTGTACAACTGAGCTCCTTAGGAGTGCTTGGCCATAATCTGTACAGGACCAGGCCGCCAGGCCTTTCTTCCACTGTGTTGTTGGGCAGGATTGAACCACCACCTGTTCAGTTAGTGGTTGAGTACAAGCTATTCACGCCACCCAGAAACCCTGCCTAACTGTAATGGAAATGCTTTCAAAGAGGTTATCTCACAACGTGTATTGTCATAAAGCTTCCAAACCCATCCACTCGTGTGGGGGCTTAAAAAGAGTGTTATGACAGCCTCATTAACCAGTAGCTACGCAGAGATGGAGTAGCTACGGGAGTAATGTGTGTTAAGACATTGCTACTGTATTGCCAGGAAATGGTCTTGTAGTCGCACAAGCAACATCTATTCCTGCAGATGTGTTGATAATAACTGAAGTAAATACAATGTTGCCAATGCAAACATCATTACTTATTAAGGAAGCAGACCTACATAGACTAAACTTTGGTGAGTACCTGCTTGGTGGAGGCTCCCAGCCAGAGCTGGGATTGTGATAGGGAGCAAACCAGACCTGGTTGCAGCTCAGGAAACTCAGGCTGGAACAGGGATTGGCATGCTTTTTCTGTAAAAGGTCAGATGGTATCTATTGTAGGCCTTGTAAGTGCGATAAAAGCAGCCGTGGACGATGCTAACTGAATAAACATAGAAGTGTCCCAGTCAGGGGCAGAATACATAATAAGCATGGGAAACACGGGCTAAATTGTGAATAATTTCTCCTGGGTTTCACCACATCTTTGGTTCTGTAGGAAGGTGCTATGGAGTTGAGAGAGAGATGGATGTCTGCCATACCTAGAAACAGAATCTTTGATGTGGGGGGGAATTGTGAAATTGTTCACTGCGGATCAGTAAGTAAACAGAAGTAAGCCTGTGCATACCTTGCTGACACTAGTTCTGATAGAACTTTACTTACGAAAATGGCTAGTGGGATGTGTTTTGCAGATGAGCTGGAATCAACTTGACAACTGGGGATTTAGGTTTTTTTGGGTCTACAGGAAGAGAAAACATGACTCAAATAATCACAGACGTTCATACGTGAGCATGCCCACATGCGTGAGCGTGCACTGGATTGCCTGCCATACGTACCTGGAAGGAAAAATCAAGGATGCTATGAGAACGTTAGAAACCAGGCTGGTCTCTGGTAGCAAAGGCTTCCACGGAAGCTGAAGAATGAGTCAGAGCTGACATCAGAGTTAGCTAGTTTGGCTTTAGCACAAGTTATACAAGTTTGATGAACAGAAAAACACCCTTCCCTCACAGTTCAGGAGTTCTGAAGTCTGAGCTGAAGGCTTGGCTCTAGTTGGAAATGCTTTGCCTATCTTAGTTTCCAGTAGTCAGCTGTCCTTGGGTCCCTGAGTTTGTTAATCCCTCCGCCTCCTTTATCAAACAGTCTCGGTCTTCCCCCGCTTGCTCAGACATGCCCTTACTTCTTCAGGTGACTCAGAAGTGACTAGGTTTGGGTCTACCTTACACTGTTTTGATCTTCACTGATTGATTCCACTACATTAGATTGCATTATGGAAAGACTGCCGAAAACCAACCAAACATACTGCCATTGTGCTGATGAGAACTCATAGCAACACTGCGATGTGCTTCTTCATGAGAACAGGAGGACTCATTTTCTCCTGCAGAGTGGCTGGTGGGTTGAACCAGCCACATGTACGTAGCAGCCCAAAGCTTTCCAGACAAATGCCACCATTTAGGTTCTAACCCTAAATGTGAGCCTTTGGGTTCCAACACTTTTTATTAGAGTTTGAGGGAAGGTGCAATTCGATTCTTATGTGTTAAATAGGTGAAGGAAAGAAGGAAGACCACCCCACATAAAGGCAACAGCCCACGCAAAGATCCTGGGGTGAGGGGAAGCTGGTCCTTTCAGCAGAACTCAAAAGGGCAATGAGTCTGGAACCCAGAGGTGAGGAACATGTGGTGCGGGATGAGGCTGGAGAAGTGGCAGCTGCTGCACACACCTGGAAGCCCACAGAGTCCATTCTGACTCACAGCATCCCTCTAGGACAGATTAGAACTGCTCCTTGGGAGTTTTGAGACTGCATCCCCCGACAGGAGCAGGCAGCCTCATCTGTCTCTCTCAGAGGGGCTGGTGGGTTTGAACCACCAACCTTGCCAACATCTAACCCACACTGGACCTGCTTCATTGAAGATCGTTGTACTAAGAGTTATGGGAGCATGACTGCATCCATATTTGCAAACGATACCTCTGATTACGGATGAAGGGCAGGTTGTCGTGAGGGGTAAAGCATGGATGCTGGGGAAGTCAGAATAAAGATGATGGTGTCTTGCTTCAGGAATGTGGAAAGAAGTCCAGAGAAAGGGATGGAGTTGAGGATGTTCAGGGTGTAAAGCCATGGCCAGAGGGGTAGGAGAAAAAGAGAGAATGCACTATCCCGGAGGCTAGCTGCTCTCGGTAGAATTTGGCTTTTGCTTGTATTCCCTTATTAGAAGCCAGGCCATTGCCAGTGCTGAGAGCCATGACTAACCACTCACGTTCCACAGGCCGCTCCTTAACAAGTACAGACCTTTTGGCTCCAAGGATCACCGACATCCCCCAAGTGGTCCGTCTGCTGGGAAAGCAGGGCCCAGTCTAAGAAGGGAGACTCCGGCTGCTCTATACTTGCTTGCTCCAGTGCCTGCCCTGGAGTCATGGGAGCAGGCTGGGAGCCAGCAGTGAGCCCTGCTTTCAGAGATGGGCTCAGGCTTCGGCTCCCCTCTTCTGGCCACGTCACCCATCTGCTGGAGCTGTGACCTTAGCTATAACCAGGGTTTGATTGTACAGCTGCCTCATGGGCTGACAATCACGGACTTAAGATATCCTGCTAATGCCTGATGCACAGAGGACGAGAGCAATCAGTACTTCCCAGCCCACCTTCTCTGCTCTCCCCTAGGGAGACCCCTGCCCTCTCCAAGAGGCTTTGCCCACCATGGCTATTTCCCCTGCTCTCCCCTGAGCTGCCTGCTGGCCTCCAGAAACCCTGCCGCCGGGCACAGCTGTGGGGCCTTTGAGATGTGACCACAGGTCACTGCTGGACCCGCCCTCTCCCAGGGAGGCCTCTGTCATTCTAGAACACCCCTCTGTACTCAGCGCTCTCTGCCCTCCTTCTTCCTCCCATTTCTGGGAGCTGCCACGTGGTCTGACTTGTTTGTGCAGTTTTTCTCTCAGTCTGCCCTCTCCTTTGTCTCTCAGGGACTCTAATGTCTGTTCTTCGGTGACTCAGAATGTCCACCCCCTTGCTATTGCCTCTAACAGCCCCTTGTCTTTCCATGTGCATGCATAATGCACATCAAGTGTACACATGCATGTGTACAAGGCTTGGTATGTGTGTGGCTGTGAGGTGTGTGTAGCTGTGTGGATGTGGTGGCTTTATGTGTGTGGCATGGTGTGTGTGTCTTTATGCGTGTTTTTCTGTGGCTGTGAGGGGTGTGTGTGGTGGTTTTTATGTGTGTGTGTGTGTGCATGTGTGGTATGTGTAGCTAGCTGGATGTCTCTGGTTTTCCTACTCCAACTCCCTGCCTGTCTTCCTTATCTAGAGGCCAGGCTGGGGCCAGACGAAGATGGTGGGATGAGATCATGCAGGAGGCGAGGTGCTTTGTCAGGAGTGGTGGCGGGCCCGCATACATGCGCGTCGGTGGCCTCCAGACAGGAACTCGGGCCTGGGGGCAGCACTGTGCGGCGTGCGTGCTGCCTGTGTGCAAGAGACACAGACGAAGAGCATGCAGGGGGTGTGAGCGGAGACCAGACACTGCAGCAAACCCACTGCCAAGTCAGCTGTCTCCACGTGGGCCTTCAGATGCCCAGCCCCCCACTCTTTGTTCTGGTACAGCCTTTAGCCTCTGAGCTGCACACAGGAACACGCATCTGCGGGCTCACGCAT